TCTCTCTCTCTCTCTCTCTCTCTCTCTCTCTCTCTCTCTCCCTCTCTTCTCTCTTTAAAAAAAAAGAATTTTTGCATCTATGTTTATCAAGTATATTGATCTGAAGTTATCTTTCCTGGATGTATCTTTGTCTGGCTTTGATATCAAGGTGATACCAGCTTCTTAGAGTGAGTTTGAAAGGATTCTCTTCTTTTCTATTCATGAAATAATTTGAGGAGTGTTGCTGTAAGTTTTTCTTTGAAGTTCTGGTAGATCGAGAAGCCCTCTGGTCCTGGGCTTTTCTTTGTTGGTAGGAGTTTGACGTGTCTTCAATTTCATTGCATGAAATTCATCTGTTCAAATATTCTGTGCCCTCTTGATTCAATTTTAATAGGTCATAGGTCTCTAGAAACTTAAGGCAGAAACTTTTGACAAACTGGTAAACTGTTTTCTTTTTTTAAAAAATATTTTTTATTTTTCAGTTTTCGGTGGACACAACATCTTTGTATGTGGTGCTGAGGATCGAACCTGAGCCTCACGCATGCTAGGCAAGTGCACTAAAACTTGAGCCACATCCCCAGCCCTGGTAAACTGTTTTCTTAAAGAAACTTCCTCCAATACCAGAGATCTTGAATAGCCTCCAGATCAATCATCCAGAAACATCTCTCCACATAATTGAAGAACTTGGCTTTCCCTTTGGGAAAAGAAGCACCTATTTGGTACTTTCTTTCATTTTTGCTTTTATTCTTCGTCAAAATTGGGTCTTTGGTTTTTCAGGAATTTTTTCCTGTGTTTAGGAAGGAGGATTGGTGACCTCTTGATCTTGGTGTCAGTGGTTTTTTATCTTCCCTGTTCTTGTGTCTCTGTTGTGCATTTTCAGCTGCTGGGTCTCCAAGAGGTTTCCTCACTAGAGCTTTTGTTTAGTTTCCTCATCAACAAAATCATCATCTTCAGCAGCAACAAGTTTTACTGCTTTCTGTTGAACCCTGCTACGGCTTCCAGGGTCCAACTGCTTTCCAGATTCACTGAAGAGTTGGACATACTCCTCCGCAGTGACTTGGAACCTTCCTCCATAGCCACTAACAGCCATCCTCAGTGTGCACAGGCCAGGAACCACACTTCATATCAAGACCATAGATGACGTCATTTTCAAATCCCCCCCACAAAATTATTGACTGAACAGAATTTTTCAAAACTGCCACTCTTGCCTTAGGTGGGACTGCCTTCAAAAATCATTGCTTCTGCTTCAGCAAGATGCAGTTCATCCTTTGCACCAGCACCTGAAATGAACATTCTTAAAAATTACTATGCTTGTTTTCATCATTATCCACCTGAAAGTGATCATCTTTGTCAGCCTCTATTTCTCAACCAAAAAAATAATAATAATTCTGGAGCTTTGGGCTTGTGTCTGTACTAACTGAATCTTTCATTGTGAGGTATTTAATGAAAATTGATCTCAGTCATTAAGAGGAAAGAGTTTTAAAAGGATAGAGGCGATGGGATACAGGAGAGTGAGGTTGGGAGAAAATGTAGACATAGGAAGAAAGGGGATGCCAAAAGAGTCAGGGAAAAGGGGAGATAAGTGGGTAGAAGGAAGGGAAGAAGGAAGGAGCTCATGTAACCTCCAGCAAGCTCTGCTTCCCCTACAGAGACTGGGTATTCACAGTGAATTTTGTTTTTTAACATCTCCATTTCTAATTTTTAGCATTCTATTAATAAGTAATTCTGTTTTGCATTACCTGGTAAACATGCTTTTGACCACATTGTACACTGAATTTAAACAGATGGTCCTCGGTCCTCCAATGGTAGGTTTGGGGCACGCCCACACCACAGGGGAAGAGGAATATCTGCACATGCCTGGCTACATCTTGCCTGTTATTCTGTGATTTATTCTCAACAGAATGTCTCCAGTATACTTCACTATGTATCTATTTTGCTAAAGCTGCTGCTGGTAAAAGCCTGGAAGACTCTGGGCCATGGGTGGGAACAGGGAGAAGAGATTGGGGCTCCATGCTGGTCGCAGATAAGTGGAGCTCTCTTCTGAAGAATGGGGAAAAGGTGTGGTTTGCCTGGAGAGGTTCCCTAGAATCTGATGATCAGCTCATAGGGCCCCAGCCTAGGACACCAGACTAGGTTCTGTGCTCCTGTGTGGCAGCTCCCCTCTGCTGCCTTGTTCCTGCATCTACTCCATCATGACCTGCCACCAAGACCATGATGAATTGACCTGTGATCCCTGGTGCCTCCTTTTCTACTCTATTGGAAATACTGTCTGTTCAGCTAGGTTTTAATTTTCAGGAGGACAGATACCATCTTGTATTTTTTGTACCCATATCTTGGTAGAAGTCACTAAAAGTTCTTATCAGATTAAGCCTCCTAGTAACACTGTGCCTGTGAGGGGTCCCTGATGGCATGTGAGCATTCTACCACCTCAGTTAAAGGTGACACCAAAATAAGGATCTAGAAGGTTGACGGGTTCTAGGATGAAGACTCCTCCCTCTGCCAGCCTGGCCCTTCAGAGAGAGTCTGGGAGTCACAGAAGGATGGGAACTAATGGTCCTCTTCTCCCTGTCCTGAACCTCACATCCATGTTTCTCTCACAGGTACCCACTCTCTTTGCCTCGACTTCACTGTCAAATCTCAGTCCAGACCTGGAGAGTCCTGGTGTGAAGTGCAGGGCTCAGTGGATAAGACCGCTTTCCTTCAGTATGACTGTGAGAGCAACAAGATCAAACCTTTGGGTCACCTGGGAAGGGAGGTGAATGCCACCAAAACTTGGACACAATTGACTGAAATGCTGAGAGAACTGGGGCAAGATCTCAGGATGCTCCTGCTTGACATGGACTTGGAAAAAAATAAGACCTTGGGTAAGTAATGGAATGGGGTGAAGAGACAGAGAGAGCAGGAGAGAGGAAGGGGTGGAGTGCACATGTGGAGGAGGCTCTGGATGTATTTGTGTAAAAGAGATTAACATTGGCTCAGCCTTAGAGGATGTAGGGCTTAATGTGCAAGAAAGGGCTAATCTGGGAGAAAAGAATACAGGCCTCTAAATGTGCAGAGAAAAGCTCAACTTATTGGGAGGTGATGGATCTATCAAGAGTGGGAGATGATGGTTTTGTTGTGTATTGCAGGTCCTCTCACCCTGCAGGCCAAGATGTCTTGTCAGCTTGAAGGAAACAATGACCTTGGTTCATTCTGGAATTTCAGCATTGATGGACAGCCATCTCTCTACTTAAATGTGATGCACATGGAGTGGACAGTGATTAATCCTAGAGCCAGAGGGATCAAGGAGAAGTGGGGGAATGACAAAGAACTGACAGAACGTTTAAGGAAGGTCTCCATGGGAGATTGCAGTCACTGGCTCACGGGATTCTTAAAGTACCAGAAGGAAATGCCAGGTAGGGAGCTGAGTTATCATGATACAACTCAGCAGAGTGGGAAAGATGTGGAAGTTCTTTTTAAAAGTCTGATGACTTTCCTGTGGGGTGTGAGCATGTACATGTAATGGGAAATTTGTTGGGCTGAATGAATGACTGATTTCTTGATGGGCTTCCTGTCTGGATGGTCAGTGATAGCCATATGGATTTATGATCAGCCTCTTTTCCCATCTCACTTACCAAGTTTTCTTCATTATGTACAAGCCCCCACTGTCCATTAAACATTTATACAGTCATTAATGGTCTGCTAACTAGTTCCCAGGTCTATATACATTTCTGTAAACTTCCAGGCCTTCTCTTCTTCCTGTGTTATAATTACCCTTCAACCAGCTCCAGTGTTAACTTCTTATGAAGCCTTCCCTACCTCCCCCAGACAAAATTAAGCATCACTAGTTGTTTCAACCTCCAAAATGTTATAAGTATGGTAAATATGCCAAATTGGATGGACATTTGCTGTCCCCTTCAGTAGTAATGTGAGCTCCATAAGGACATGGCACAACGTCTGTTCATCTCTGTACACCCAGGACCTGGTAGAATAGTTGTCCCATAATGAGTCAATGAATACATAGTCCCATGGGCTGTATGGGATAACAGTGCCAAAGAATGGATATTCTTAAGTTTGACAAACATTTTTCTCTTGTTTTGTTTTAGCAACAACATCAACAGTCCCAGTTACCAGTGAGACTCTAAAGAGCCAGTCTACTTTAGTGACCAACGTAGTGGCCATGATTGGCCTAATCTTCATTGTCATTGTTGTCGTCATCACTGCTCTCGCAGTTGTTGTGGTCTTCGTAGTCACCATCGTCATCCTCATCAACAAGATCTTCATGTTCTGTAGCAAATAACAGACACCATGAAAGGTGAGGAACAGTCTGTCCTCTGGCCTTTGGGTGGCGCTCTCTCAGTCTGGTAGGGCCTTGGGACAGGTGTCCCACCAGTTTCACCCAAGCCCCTGGCCACTGATCTCTCTCCACAGAAATGATGCCCTTCCTTAGCCTTGAGCACTGCCCACTCCACAGTAGTGCTGGAATGACTGCTGCTGAGTAGAGGAGGCCACTGTAGGTAGCACAGCAGTGCAGTGAGAGGGGGGACACACAGGAGTCTCCTCCTGAGCTGGGGCAGTGCCTGAGATCTGGAGAATCTGGGTGGGTATTGGCTCCAGATCTTTGACTGAAGAGTTATTTGCTCTCTGGGATAATATAACAAAGGCTAATAATTGTCCTTAATGTTGTAGAAGCTGTTCCATCATCTACTATGTCTTCTGTGGACCATGGGAAGGCAACATCATCAGACCACCCTTGGTGGCAAGAAGGGTCCTTAGATGACAGTCTCTACTCTGCCACTCTTTCCAACAAACTTTCTTCCATTTGAGTGAAACTGGAAAGGCTGTGGACATTTTCCTTATTTGTAGAGGAAGATGAATTAAAAGGATATTTATCTTGGTTTAATGAGGTTTATTTATGTGTTCACTCTTTTTTATATAATTAAGATACTGATGGACAGAAACCACAGGTAAACTGTGCTAACTCACTAGATATTATGACACAAACGATTAAGGCCACAGAGTGAAGTGACATATGAATATCTTAACATGTCCCATGAAACCTGGCACAATAGAAAGGATAAAGTGTGACATGTTTGTAGCTGTAACAGTTATCTTGTAAAACACATGGGCTGAGGTTGTGGCTCAAGTGGTAGCGCGCTCGCCTGGTGTGCGTGCGGCCCGGGTTCGATCCTCAGCACCACATACCAACAAAGATGTTGTGTCTGCCAAGAACTAAAAAATAAATATTTAAAAAAAATTCTCTCTCTGTCTCTCTCTCTCTCCTCTCTCACTCTCTCTTTAAAAAAAAAAAACACATGGATGACTCCCATAGATAGGATCTATGACTATCTTAGATCCAATTTTCATAGATAGGAGGAACACACCAGACACAAAAGAATCAATACTTTATGATTCAATTTATCTATATTTTTAAAACAGACAAAACTAATCCTTAGCAATAAAAGTCAAAATATTGGGATAGGTGGTGGTCAAGATAGCAGTTTAGAGGAAGGCTGCATTCCTAGTGTCTCCATGACTTGGGATTCAAGCAGCAGGAATACTGCTTCTCTGAGTGGTGGGTAAAAGATGGATTTCACTAAAACTCAATATTGGACACTCACAGTGTCTTAGAGACTCAGAAGTTTGAGTATGTAAAACAAAGAAGAAAGACTACATTGGAGCCAAACTGATGTGGCAGCAACAGTAGCGGTACCAGTTTAGGACACAGGGAGAGATATCACAGAGAAACACAATGGACAGATATAGTACAGAAAAATCTGAGATCAGAAAAGCACCTGATGCAGAGGCTGCACTGTGCAATGGTATTTGAAGTGTCCTCTTTCTCAGCTGACCATGGAGAGCTGAGGTGGACCCATCTTGAAGCAGCCGTGCTTCAGCCAGTTCTTTAGGAGCCACGAGATCTGAACAAGTACTGTCACACTGTCCCAGCAAGCACTTAACTCTACATTCTAGGATATACATAGCAGAGCAGGAGTGAAATAGGCATAGAGAAGATTGTACCTAGGGGAATTCAAGTCAGAAAAGATAAAAGAATTCTCCTTTGAGTCTGGTGGCTCACATGACCAGCTGAAGCAAGTCGGGAATCTGAAAAGGCAGGTGTGAGTACACTCAGGGGCCAAGGCCAGGAAGTCTGTATTCATGGGCAGCAGACTAGAGGACTGGCTCCCTTTTCTCTTGAGTAGAATTCATGGGAGGCTCCTGAGATCCAGACTTCCAGCAGAGATGGACATCTTCCAGGCCCTAGGGGTATGTTGTTCTAAACCTTCCAGAGGAGATACCTAAGCTCCACCCACAAGATGTCCCCTCATAGAATTCTGTCTCAACTCCACCCTATGGATGCATTGATCTGGTCTATGCAGACAAAATTCCAACTGACAGCAATTTCCATCCTATCCTATCTCATCTTGGGGAGAAGAGAGGCTGAGAATTATTTGACCCAGCTTCAGTTTTAGTTCACTCCAACTGGCAGCTTGGTGAGCCATACAACAAGAAGAATAGGTTAACAACCCCTACTTCTTGCTCTGGTACTCAAGAAGAAATGGAAAGAAGGACAGTAGGGCATAGACAGTGACTGTCCATTCTTGTCAACTGTTTTGACCACTTCAGTAGAAAAACTCCCTTCATTTTTCATTAAGAACCTTTTTTATATTTTTCTTTCTTTTTTTATGTGTGTGTGTGCATATTGCTGTGCTGACTGGTTCATGGACATATATGCATATATATTTGTTCTTTTTTCCATTTTTAGTATTTTTTTAAATACTAGTAGTATTGTAATTATTTCTCCTTATCTTTTGAAGTTTAGGGTTTGGGGTTTATATATTTTGGGGTTTTTTTGTTTGTTTGTTTGTTTTTTGCACTAGGGATTGAACTCAGGGGCACTTGACCACTGAGCCACATTCCAGCCCTAATTTGTATTTTATTTAGAGACAGGATCTCACTGAGCTCCTCAGCACCTCACTTTTGCTTAATCTGGCTTTAAACTCGCCATCCTCCTGTCTCAGCCTCCCAATCCACTGGAATTACAGGCGTGTGTGCCACTGTGCCCGACTATATTTTGGTTTTGGTTTATGTTGTTTTATTTTTCTCTTGTTTCTCTTTTGAAGTTTAGGACTTGGAGTTTATATATTCTGGTTTCTCTTTCCCTTTTATCATGCTTACAGCTAAATTCTATTTTTCTTTTTTTCACTCTCCCTTTACTTTGTTACCTCTACTTTTTATCCCTTTTCCTTATAATCATCACCTGCTGCATCTCTTCTGCATTCTTTCTGTTAGCTTTTTGAAATTATTAACTCTTTTCTACCTTCCCATCACATTTACATTTCTCTTAATTAACTTTATTCTTACCATCTTTTACAACAAACTGGTTTATATAGCTCCTGCCCCCACCATGATACAATTATTACTACTGTGGATAACATTGTTGATACCTGTTGTTTATTTTTTTAATTTGTTCTAATTACTTATACATGAGAGTAGAATGTACTTTGATACATTATATATAGATGGAGTATAATTTCTCATTCTTCTGGTTGTACATAATGTAGAATCCCACTGGTCATAGAGTTATATATGTGCATAGGATAATAATGTCTGATTCATTCTACTATACTTCCTACCTCAGTGTTGTTTACTTTAATGCCACATCTAGTCATGATTACTTATTGTATTTGCTATTGGCAATTGCTGATTCCAACATTTCTGGGGATGGATTATGGCAATTAACATTGTAGATGTCATAGTAGAAAACAGGTGTTTATTTTAATTCTGTATATTTTTTACATCGGTTGCTGAAATTGTTTGTTTCACACTATTCTGTGAAGTGCTGGGAACCTACAAGGTTGAGCTGTAAGCTCAAACTCTGCTGTTGAAGTACACTCACCCAAAATACAGTACACCTTGCTCCACATACAAATTAATGACGATCTTCAACTGTATATTTATACAAACTATAGAAGAGACAAACTCAAACTAAAAACCAGGCCCCAAGTATAAATGACTAGAGTGAGCCCCCAGGTCCCACCTATGGACATCCACTGCTACCAAAAAAAAAAAAAAAAGAATTAACAAACACTGTGGATACCACACCTATTCAGGGGTTCTCAATCCAGATCACTCTAGAACACTTCAGCAAGTAAAGACTGTGCCCTAAAAGGGCCCACATATATGAGCAAATGAGAAATCCCTTTCAACCAATGCATAAAATTCAACACAGGGATATAAGAAAACAAACTAACATGACATATAAAGCTGATAATTCACCAGCCACTGACCCCCAAAATATTGAACTTAATGAAATATCAGATAAAAATTTCAAAAAATATAAAAAAATTATTAATGAATAAATGGATAAAGAAAATGTGATACACACAGTAGAATATTATTCAGCATTAAAAGAGATTAAAATCATGGCATTTGCAAGTAAATGGATGGAATTGGAAAATTAATGCTAAGTAAAGTAAGCCAATCTCAAAAAAACAAAGACTGAATGTTTTCTCTGATATAAGGATGCAGATTCATAATGGGGATGGAGGGGGAGCATGGAGGAATAAATAAAGTTTAGATAGGGCAGAGGGAAGGGAGGGCATATGAGGGTAGTAAAGATGGTGGAATGAGATGGACATCATTACTCTAAGTACATGTATGAGTGTATGATGTGATGCTACTTTCTGTACTACCAGAGACATGAAAAATTGTGCTCTGTTTGTGTGATATGAATCAAATTGCATCATTCTGTCATATATAAAAAATTAGAATAAATTTTAAAAAGAAAAAAGAAAAATAATCAATGAATTCTAAGAGAACACAGAAATACAACTGAATGAAATAAGGAAGTCAGTACAGGATATGAATGAGAAATTGAATAAGGAGATAGAAATATTGAAAAGGAACCAAACAGAAATCTTGGAGAAAGACACAATAAATCAATATGTTCAACTGAAAGTCTCTCTGATAGACTAGATCATGCTAAAGAAAGAAACTCAGAGCTGAAAGACATAGTAGCCAGGCAGTATTAAAGAAAATAAAGTAAAAAGAAGGTGGAATGAGATGGATATCATTACCCAAGGTGCATGTATGGTTGCACAAATGGTGTGACCCTACTTCATGTATAACCAGAAAAGTGAAAAATTGTGCTAGATTTGTGTACAATGAATTGAAGAACTGATTAGAACTGATAATTTTTTAAAAAATTAAAAAGTAAAGAAAAGGGCTGGGGTTGTGGCTCAGTGATAGAGCACTTGCCTGGCATGTGTGAGGCACTGGTTTTGATCCTCAGCACCACGTAAAAATAAATAAAATACAGTCCATCAACAACTAAAAAATTTTTTTAAAGTAAAGAAAAATGTTATTTCTACTCAAAAAAGAAAGAAAATAAGTAACCATGATCAGATAAGAACTCTGGAATGACATTAAGAGAACAAATTTAAGAATCATTGGAATTGGGCTGGGGTTGTAGCTCAGTGGTAGAATGCTTGCCTCGCATATGTGAGGCCCTGGGTTCCATTCTCAGCACCGCATAAAAATAAATAAATAAAGATATTGTGTCCATATACAACTAAAAAAATTTTTTAAAGAATCATTGGAATTGAGGAAGATTGTGAGATATAGGGTAATGGAATAGATAAGCTCTTCAGGAAAACAATAACATAAAAATTTCCAAACCTTCAGAATGAGATGGACATCCAGATACAGTAAACACTCAGAAACCTGAATATACAAGATCAAAAAAGAAGCATTCTGTGACACATTATAATTAAAATGCCTATTATACAGAACAAAGATAGGATTTTTAAAGCCTCAAGAGAAAAATATTAGGTCACATTTAGAGGCAAGCCAATAAGAATCACTTCTGATTTCTCAAAACAAACTCTAAAAGCCA